GGGGGGCGGGGAGAGGGATGCAACAATGAATGAATGGAATTCCAAAATCTCTGTAGATGTTCATTGAAATGAAAAATAAAGAAATTAATAAAAAAAAAGAATAGCTAAGTGTTCAGAATAAGCTAAAATTTCAGAAATAGGGGAGATGGATGGAGGGGGAGGGAAGTGTTTGAGGTGTCTAAAATTTTTTAAAAATGAGTGATTGTTGTACAACATATTATTATAATTGATACCACTAAGTTGTACATTTAAGTAAGTTGAGTTGTCAAATGCTGTGTGCTATATACATTTTTACAACGAAAACTGCGAAAGAGAAGAAACTCAAAACCTCGAACTATGATTTCAATTGCAGGAACTCCAGGCCTTGCCAATTACTATCTGGGTGACCTTGTGCTAGTCATTTAACCTCTCTAGGGCTCATTTTCCTCATCTGTGAAAATAGGGGTAATAACAGTTCCTACCACTAAGGTTGTTATAAGGATTAAATGAATGAACAGTTAATAAAGCTAGAAAATGTCTAGCTATCACGCTCTATGACTGAGCAGTCTTCCTTTCCCTAGACTGCTAGCTGTGTTTCATAGACAATGATCTTTTTTTTTAACGTTAATTTTGGTCTTTATTTTGTATTTTTTAAACTGTATACTGATTTATTTACAAATATTTAATACTTTATTTTTTACAAAAGATCCTTCCCATTTCCTTCACCCACCTACCGCATCAAATCGTGCAACCCTACGATTAAAAGACCTTGGTCCAACCAGATGGAATGGCAGCTCAGCAAACGTCGTCATATTCGGCGCTGCGCAGCCGCAAACAGCAGGGAATGTGAGGGGCGGGGCTGCAGCCTCCTGGGCTGTTCCAGATATCGCACACTCCACCCGCTGCACTCAGCGCCCGCCCTTGCTTCCAGGCACCTCTCTCCTCCACCCCCCCACATTGCTGATGCTGCTGCTGGCAGGCATGGACGTGGTGAATCAGGTATGTACTCCAGCACCGCGGACAGAGCTCGCCACTCCCGGAGCATCTGAGGTGGTAGCCTTGGTTCTGGCAGCAGAGTCCTGGTGCCCTAGCTTTAAGATTTAGGGTCTGCAGCAAAAGAGGGGAGGAAGAGAAAAGGAGTGTGCCGCAGCAAGGGCCGCTCTCATTGCCGCAGCGAGGGTTGCTCTCATTGCTGCAGCGAAAGCCCCCTGAAGCTCCACTTTCCCATGAAGACCTCGAGAGGAGAAAAAGGGGTCCTAGGGCCCGGGTGAGAGTAAGGGGTGTGGGAAGGGAGAGTAGAAGAAAGAGCGGGAGGGGGCTACAGACAAGCTAGGAAACAGAATGACAGAAGACATGGAGGTGGGGGAATAGAGGGTAGAACTGGAGCCTGCTCCTCCCAAACATAAATAATGCCCCTGTTCTTCCCCCAGAGCAGACCTAGGGAGACAATCTGACTTTCCCTTTCCAGAACCCTCAGTTTTTTCCTTACCCAGTACACACCCAGTGAAGCCATGCCCAAGTCCTGCTCCCACCTTAATCAGCCTCGACCCTCTCTACCATCTCACTCATCCTCACCACCTCAGAACCTCACATCCTCCCCAATCACCACCAACTCCTCCCTATCTTCATCATTTCAGGCTACCACCATCATCTGACTCACTGCAGATTTCACTCTGTTTAACCCAACACCTGCCAAGCTATGACTCACCTTCACCACTCCACACACTCCTCCCCCACTCTAATGAATCCAGACTCACTGCCCACTCTTTCCTTGAGCCCCTTTGCCATCTGACTCACCTTTACTGTTTCAGACCTTCTCTCTTTCTCTATCTAGTCCCAACCCCATACTCATCTTCCTCATCCCCTGTCTCCACTGTGATCTGACTCACCATTACCCAAGACTTCCTCCCCCCACACCTCCTCACCAATCCTAAATTCTGAGTGTCTTCACTAATAGACCCTGGAGCTCATACTTTTCCCAAAGTGTCACTTTTTTCCTCTCCAAATGTCACCCCTCCCTGCAGTCACATGCCCAAGACCTAGGGATCATCACCTGGCAGCCTTGCCCCACACTTTCCTCTCCACCTCCACTTCCCCCACCCTCTCCTCACCATTTTTCTCCTCAGTTGGTGGCTGGGGGTCAGTTCCGGGTGGTCAAGGAGCCCCTTGGTTTCGTGAAGGTGCTGCAATGGGTGAGTGTGTACCAAGTTGTGGGGGAAAATACAAGGAAAAAGGGGAGGTAGTGTGTGTGGCGGATGTTAAAAGAAGAGGTGGAATGAGGGTGGGAAGCAAGAATATTCATGGGGAAAGGCAAGGATAATGGGAGAACTGCAATCCAAAATGAAGTCCCAGGAGCCTGTAGCCCTTTATGGGGGATGCAAAGCAGAAGAAATCCAGAGACGATGAAGGTGACAGAAAAGATAAAGAGAGATGGAAATACTGAGGAAAAAAGAAATAAGTTGAGAGGAAGACAAACAGAAAAATATTAAGAAAATGGAAACACACACAGAAAGAGAGACATGGAAAGAGAAATAGAAACAGGAGAAGAGGCAGGAAATGGTGTTAGAGAGAGAGAACAGACACCCCCCCCACACACACACACACACCCTACCTCCCTTTCTCCTTGCATTTTAAGAGATAAATAGAAATGAAAGAGAGAACCATACAAAGACTAAATAAAAGATACAGAAAAGACACACACACACACACACACACAGAGATAAAGTGAAGACAGAGGCACATATGACTAAGGAGTGTCAGAGAATCAGAGGTACTAAAAGGAACAGAGACATCTGAAAAAGATTTGCAAAGAAATAGGAAAAAATACCAAGATAAACAAAAACACAACAGAAATAGATAGAAGCATAAATATAGAGAGACATAAAATAAAAAGAGATAGGCAGAGAAGTAGACAGGGAAGAAGCAGGGAGAGAGAGCCAGGAAGAGATAGCCATACGCCTGTAATCAGCTTGCCCTTGGCTATGATGAACCCTGATTAGGAAATGGGGGTGGGGACAGGTCCATCTGCTGCTGTCTGTGCTAGGCTTCTGCTCTGTCTAGAGGAGGGTGTCTTCCTACATGCACACAAGCTTACTGGCCATCCCTATCCCTGTAACCCAAGGTCTTTGCCATCTTCGCCTTTGCCACATGTGGCAGTTACAGTGGAGAGCTACAGCTGAGTGTGGAATGTGCCAACAAGACGGAGAGTGACCTCAGCATCGAGGTCAAGTTCGAGTACCCCTTCAGGTGTGCCTCCACTCTCCCACATTATAGGGATCCTCACTGACCTGGGAGGGGGTGGGGGAGGAGCAGGACAGGTTTACCCCTCATCCCTGGTGTCCCCTTGCTAGTCCCCCCCTCAAAAGGAGGCCATACCTGCTTAAGTCACTATCCACATACTGAGCACCTATCTTGTGTCTGGCGCTGCTTTGGACATCTAAGACACTGATAAGCAAGGGGAGACAGGCAGTAAACAAGAGTCAAAAGGAAAGAAAATGTTAACAGATTATTTAATCCCATTCATTCCATACACTTTTTACAATAACTTTTTGTATACCAGATACTGCTCAAAGTGCTGGGGACATAGCAGTAAACAAAACAGACCAAAGTCCTTACCTGTGTGGAACCAATGTTATAATAAATTAATCAATAAAGAGGATAATTGCAGACTGGAAGAATGCAAGGAAGAAAGTCTCATACAAAGTTTTATGAAAGAGAATAATGAGTGGTACTGTTTGGAAGCCGGAGTGACATCCACTTCCTAAATAACATGCCTCTCTGGAAACTATGAACTTTGATAAATGTCAATGGTTGAAGAGGGGCTTCTGGCCTTTTGTTCATGTGGTTGCTATGAGTCACGCTTGACTCGAAAGCAATCAACAACAACAACAACTTCTTAGATATAGGGAATTACTAAACTCAGTTAAACAATTCTGATAGTGTTTGAGCTCATGTATTATTCCAGTCAATGCTGGGTGCCAAGTATACAGGAGTACAAGAGTGATACAAGCAGGCATGGCTGTTGGCCTTACACAATTGTCTACCTCCTGGGAGTGAGAAAACAATCCCTGGAGAGGCTTTTAAGGGCCTGAGTTCAAATCTAGGCTCTTCCACGACTTGGACAAATCACACAACTGCTCCAGGTCTGCTTCTACATCTATAGAAGAAGGTAATAACAGCACCCATCTCACAGGACTATGGGGCATGTGTGTGTGTGATCAATGATTTAATACTCATAAAGTGTCTAGCATAGTACCCTGCACTCAATAGGTACACCATAAGTGTTGTTAAGCAAAATAAATAAATGAAAGTAATCAGGAAAGAGATCATGGATTGAATAGGAAATTTGAGTACTTAAGGGCAAATTATGCTCAAGAGATCATCCAGCAGGAAAAGGAGAAAGTAAAAAGAAATGTTAAGATAAGCATAAATGTCCTAGGCAAAGATTGAAAGAAAAAGAGCTTCCAGGAACATGTGGCCAGGAAAGTAGGAGAACAACTCAGAAGTGACCTTTTCACAGAAGCCAGAGAGGAGAGACTAGAAAAGAGAGGTCATGGGTAGTCATAAAATACTGAGCCAGCCCATTGGGAATCCATAAGATCACAGAAGTCCTTTGTGGACCCTGTTGCCTTCCACACCTAGGACCTTAAGTCCAGAGGATCTACCCTTTATCACTTGTCTTCTGGAGAAAGAAAAAAAAATAAATCTGCCCTGAGACCCCTAAGCAAACTCTCCCACATCCCTGTTCTCCCACGTCCCCCCCACCCAAGGATTCTTCACTCTTTTTGGAGCCTTTGTAGGTGACTAATGTCAGCTTCTTCCTTGGGACCTTTGCTACCCAAGGGACCCAGCATCATTTATTCAATTTCAAGATCCTAAGGCTTTAGGACCCTACTCCAGTCCTTCCCTCCACACAAATGTTTTCTGCCTACAGCTCTCTTCTCTATTATATCAGAGGAAAGACTTCAGTCCTGGAACACCTTTCCAGTCTGTCTTTACGCCTCTCACATACATACATCCTATCCCAGGATCCCTTCTACCCTGACTCAGTCTGTCTTGTTTCTTCCTATTTTGTAGTCTCTGGGCTCTCAAAAACATAGGTTTTGGAGGGTTTTTTTTTTCTCTCCAAGACCTGAAAGATGGGGAAAATCAACAAACTTGGGGGCAGGGGAAATACAGGATTCAAATCCCAATTTTGCCATTTTCTTGCCAACTGTGTAACTTTAGGCAAGTTAATCTGCTTTTCAGAGCCTTTTGCTTCCACCTCTGTGCACTTCATCCAATAAACATTTATTAGGGAGTTCTGGTGGACTAGTGGCAAGAAGCTGTGCTACAATCCTGAAGGTGCATGGTTGGAATCCACCAGATGCTCTGCTGGAGAAGGAGGGGCAATCTCCTCTTGTGCTAGTCAGATTCTATCTGATGGTAGGCAACAAGAAAGGAAGGGAAAAGGCGGGGGTGGGGGAGATAAACGTTTATTGAATACCAACTACATGCCAGCACTCTTCCAGCTCCTAGCAATTTGGCAATAAACAATACAGAGGAACTCCTGCTCTCCTGAAGTTACAGCAAAAATCAAGATAAATAAGTAAAACACATAGTGTATCAGATGACAATCACTGCTACAGATAAAAATGAAGCAAGAAGTGAAAAGAGAATCTGAGAGGGGTATCAATTTAATTTTAAATAGTGAGATAGGTAAGGCCTCACCAAGAATGTGATAGTTAAGCAAAACAAAGAAAACAGCCAGAACAAAGATCCTGAGGTGAGAGAATGTCTTGCATATTCCAAGAATAATACAAAAGGCCAGATTGACTGAATTGTAGAGAAGAATAACATTTGTCCAGAATACTGTAAACAATCCATGAGGTGTGACTAGTGCATAGTAAGTGCTCAGTGAATGGTTATTTCCTCTTCCTGGGGCCTTGCTAGAATGTCACGGGTCCATGAGTGGACAGGAGTAGGGTGGATGTATGGGTTCTGAAGGGCTAGGCCACACCCACCCACTTCTCTTTGCAGGCTACACCAAGTGTACTTTGATACACCCACTTGTGGAGGAGGCACCACTAAGGTCTTCTTGGTAGGGGACTACTCTTCGTCAGCCGAATTCTTTGTCACAGTGGCTGTATTTGCCTTCCTCTATTCCATGGGGGCTCTGGCCACCTACATCTTCCTGCAGAACAAGTACCGAGAGAACAACAAAGGTCCCATGTTGGTGAGTCTCCACAGCCACTTATATGCAGGTTCCATGGGGATACACACCTTCTGAGACGTAGCGAGGCTCATAGACCACATCAAATCTCAGGCCCACAAACAGGCATACAAGCAGCCACCATAACAGCCTCACATGTGACTGTGAGTCCACACCTCACAGAATATGGATCCATAGAGTCTTAAAGATATACTAACAGTCCACACAGAATCCTAGACAGGCACATACTTGTGAACCTACCATGTCTCACACTAGATCAAAGAAAGGAGCACACATGTCTTCATGCCACACAGTCACACTGATTCCTGAACAGCTGTACTCATACACTCATTTCAGACACAAAAGGACACAAATTCATGCATGCAGACAAAAGTGGAAAGACACATGTCTTTTCACAAATCTCTCTCCCATTCCTTACTATCTCATATATACACACAAATTCATGCTGAGATAATTATCTTCAGGTAAATGTTTTAGGGGTTTCAGAACTTAACAGGGCAGCAGAGAGACAGGCTTCTTCTTTGGGATCCCCACCTCTAAAAGCCTACAATCTGTGAGAGCCTCATAGCAGAGTGAGAAGCAGCCCATTCACAATGCCATTTCCTCCTCTACCCTCACCCTAGGACTTTCTGGCTACAGCAGTGTTTGCCTTCATGTGGCTGGTTAGCTCATCAGCATGGGCCAAGGGGCTGTCAGATGTCAAGATGGCTACAGACCCAGAGAACATTATCAAAGAGATGACTGTCTGCCGCCACACAGGGAACACATGCAAGGAGCTGAGGGAACCTGTGACCTCTGGCCTCAATACCTCAGTGGTGAGCCCTGGGAAGCTGGCTGTGCCAGCTAGGGGTGGAGGTGGGGTGGAGTTGCTGAGAAATTTGCAGTGCAGTGGAGGGTGAGGTGGAAAGAGAATAAGAACACAGGAGAAATAAAATCAGAGCTCTGAAAGGTGAGATAGGGATTGTAACCATGATGATGCTACAGGCATCCCTATGGTCCTACTTAGTGTCCTACTCAGTGTCCTACTTCCCAAATTACTTTTGGGAAACATTGAGCCCAGAGTCAGCCTAGCCATGTAGAATCTCCAGCAACTCAGTCTCCTATTCAGACCCAGTTTCTTCATGTGCAAAATGAGGAACTAACTTCAAATGTTACCCAATAATTGCCACGAGGTGGCCAAAGCCCAACTTTGCCGACTCTAGGACCTCAAATTCCTTACCCTTTCAAGCCTCAGTTTGAGCATGTAAACTGAAGACTAATAATAGAGCCTGCTCCAAAACTGAGTCTTTATTGAACTGATAACATATATAAAGTGACTAATGTTTGGTAAGTCATAATAAGTGTTATATAAATATTATAGATATTTTTATAATA